TTGGGTTTCGGGCAGCATTACCATGTCGACCGTCAGGGTCAACTTCCCTAAAACAGTTGAGATTATCTGTCCTAAATGAAATGCATACAATCTCATATACAGGTCCTCGACTAAGAGCTTTTATCTTTTAAAATGCTCCTGAACCACGGTTGTTTAAATTCAGCCGTATAGCAAATAACAGTTGAGCATGTTTTGAAATGTTATTCTTAAAATCATCGTCCAACTTCATAACTGCAATGCCAAGTGATGTAGCCTCAACTATCTGGTCTTGAATTATACTTTAAAGTGGACAAATAACAAGACAATTATAAAAAATATCCGATCCCTGCTCGAGCAATCTTTGATTTGCCAATATAAATGTATAATTGGAAGATCAAACTATTTCGTATTTCGTAGGAAGAATCGCGGTAACCGGCGTCTTCACCACGTAGCAAATTAATAATAGACTTTCTCTGTTCTGTTTTCAACTGAATTTCGAAGCCTGAATACTTGAAATATAAGAAAGAGTTTCCTCGAAAGCATTAACAGGCGGCATATTTTCGATACTTACTATATTTTTGAGTTACGTAATTACTTCCGTTAACGAGATTGACCAATGGGAAGCTTTTCCGAAGTTTCTTCGGTCAAAAACACATTTGTCATAGGCATTTGGGCAGCCGTTTATTTAACGACGCCCTCTCTTCTCTCGCCCGCACTAAACGCCTGCTACGCATAGACTTGGATCAAGTCTGTCTCTTTAGAGTCCGAGTCGCGAAGCGACGAGACCGAGCGCACAGGGAAGCGGCGCGCGAGGTGCCTCGCGCTTTCCCTCGGACTCTAGAGAGACGGACTTGATCCAAGTCTACATAGCACCATGATCGTGACTTTATCTAGCGGTTGCGTTTTCTGTAAATTTCGCACGTTTTTGGCAGTTGTTTCCTGTTTATATTCATTTTGAAACAAATTGAGTTTCCTGCAATCTGATTCGCTCTTAGTAGCGCGGTTACCACACAAAACGCACTTTGTTCTATTTAGTCTAGGACCTGTATATCAGTTTGTATGCATTTCATTTAGGACAGATAATCTCAACTGTTTTACGGCAAGTTGGCCATGACGGTCAACATGGTAATGCAGCCCGAACCCCAATCCGGGACGAAACGTCCGAACCGACCACACCCAAAAACGACGTTTTCGCCATAGTGCTATCTGCCAAATCATATAAGCTTTGGCTATTGTGAGGTGCTTATATGGTTCAGAGATGGTGCTTTTAGGGGTGGTCATTGGTAAGTGTGAAATGCCTAGCACTGATATTTTCTTAAATCTTTTTGATAGAAACATAATTTGTAATTACCTAATTTTATTATCACTGTTTTGGTGTAAAATGGTTAATATTTTGTGACCGAAATAATAATTTGAAATGTACATACCTCCTGCAAATGGACGTATTTGGCCAAATTCTCCACTTTACTCCGCTATTTATCGCCGATCTTGTTGAAATCCTCCCAAATATGCAATTAAACTCAAACATAATGGTATCAAGCACATTTTAAACAAGTTTTAACTGGGTTTCAAGTAGATCCTAGCTGTTTAACCATCCACAAGGTAAAACCTCAACTTTGTCCAAATTCGGCGTCATTTTGTCATCCCATGTCGGTTGTCAACAATTCGGCCTTGTTATTCTTCCATCCAAGCCATTTCGATTGCACTAATAATAAATTTAACCCTTTGTCAAGGGTATTAAAATAAAAATACAAATGAAATATGCGAAATGCAGGATTTTATCACCCTGTAAGATGTTGCTTACGAGTCTTTCAAAACATTCCGTACAAATCTCGCGTGGCACAGTAACAGGGACGTGACGGGCGGGAGACTTCAAAAATAAAAGCAAAGGCATGCAGTATAATGGTAAAACCAACAATCAACATTTGACATGTTCATATTACAGGTAATAATATGTATTTATTTGTCACTACAAGAAATAAAACAAACGTTTGTATGATTGTATTTAGTTTTTAGTCTATTTCACGCACCCTTTTTCTATCTTCGTGAAAGAATTCACCCCCCCCCCCCCTTGTCACGGCCCTGTTGCTTTGCCACGCGAGGTTTGTACGGAATGTTTTGAAAGACTCTTAAGCAACATCTTACAGGGGGATAAAATGCTGCATTTCGCATATTTCATTTGTATTTTTATTTTAATACCCTTAACAAAGGGTTCAATTTGTTATCAGTGCAATGGAAATGGCTTGCATGGAAGAATAACGAGGTCGAATTGTTGACAACCGAACGGGATGACAAAATGGCGCCGAATTTGGACAAAGTTGAGGTTTTACCTTGTCAATGGTTAAACAGCTAGGATCTACTTGAAACCCAGTTAAAACTTGTTTAAATTGTGCTTCAGATACCATTATGTTTGAGTTGAATTGCATATTTGGAAGGATTTCAACGAGATCTGCGATAAGCAGCGGAGTAAAGTGGAGAATTTGGCCAAATACGTCCATTTGCAGGAGATAGGTACATTTCAAATTATTATTTCGGTCACAAAATATTAAGTGATAATATAATTATATAAGTGCCAGTTAAGTTTTTATCAAAAAGATTTAGGAAAAAAGGTAATGTAGGTCCACTGCTGTTTATCTGAAGTTGTAAGCCACAAATTGACGTTTGACTATGGGTATTGCATGGTCATTTTCTTGTGAAATATCAGTGCTAGGCATTTCACACTTACCAATGACCACCCCTAAAAGCACCATCTCTGAACCATATAAGCACCTCAGGATAGCCAAAGCTTATATGGTTTTGTAGATAGCACTATGGCGAAAGCGTCGTTTTTGGGTGTGGTCGGTTTCGGACGTTTCGTCCCGGATTGGGGTTCGGGCAGCGTTACCATATTGACCGTCATGGTCAACTTGCCCTAAAACAGTTGAGATTATCTGTCCTAATGGAAATGCCCACAAACAGATATACAGGTCCTCGACGAATTTTAAAATTGCTCGCATCAGTTTGAGCTTAGTGTAGGATTCCACCAGCCAATCATGTTTAAGAAAAATGTGATCAAATGACCAAATCAAATCTGGTCATCATTGTTTTTAATAAAATATCTACATGGTGTCTAAAAAAAAACCGCTATGGAAATTCAACAGGCTGTCGTGCATCATAAACGTGGCTAAACAATTAATTGTTTACATAAAACGAAAGAACAGTACGTTATTTAGCATTTCAATGATATTCCTTTAAACCGTAACGATGAGAAATGGCACATACTCGTCAAATAAAAATTGCCGGTCGAAATCACATTTTTCCACCGTTGGGAATTGCATGGAAAACGAACCATAGACAATTCTCAAGAGGGAATTTAAATTGAATGTTAAATTGACTAAAATGAGCTCAACTCGTCGATCTTCGTCTTAGTGAGATAATAACTCAATGCGAACGTCCATAAAACATGGTTAAATTAACCCCTGAACAGAGAAGATTCGTAATCAAAATGTTTTACGAAACAAATAGCTTCCAGGTTGCTTGCAGCAGGCTCGCGTTGCTTTTGGATTGACTGACTTTGCATAATTAATGTATTTTCAATTCCCAACGGTGGAAGAATGTGATTTCGACCGGAAATTTTTATTTGAAGAGTATGTGGCCATTTCGCATCGTTACGATTTAAAAATAACAGCTCTTTCGTCCTATGTAAAAATTGAATTGTTTAGTTAATAAGTTTATGATGCACAACAGCCTGTTGAATTTCCATAGCGGTTTTTTTTAGACACCCTGTATTACAGTAGTTATCATGCAATTATTATTTTTGAGCAAAAAATGTAAGCTAAGCAAATCTAAAAGTACTAAAGAATATTTCATGCACATGCAATTGAAAAATTACGAACAAGATCGGAATTGGAACTGGCAAATGAGGAACAAAATCGTCTATCATACAAACATGGTCAAAGTGGCAACAAAACGGCAATTTTAAACAGACAGGCAAAACAAAATTGAATTCGTCATTCTTATTTCCGATGTCTGAACGCACAAAACCACACCAAAACTTTATCAAATCGTGCGCTCATAAAACCTATGTTATATACGTTTATTAAACTTCCTTGTGTTGTCTTTTATTCTTCGTAAATCGCTTTAATTCTTTAAAACTTTTTTTGTTTTTCGAACGTATTAATTGCCATTTGAAATAAATAAAGCTAAAAGTTCATCTTGTTCGATTGTCGTTGAACCGGAGGTGTGTCTTTTGCAAACTGTAATATGATTTCAAAATGAATATAATAAAGTTGAAATGAACGTCGTGCATGTTGTGCAGTTTTGGACTGAAATCAAACTTGTGATTTTGTAATCACGCTTTTAATTTCAGTTCAAACTGCACACCACTCGATTCATATAGTATTATAATAATTTCTTTCAAGCTTCGTTTAGTTTATTTGGCGTTCCTTTAATCTTCAAATCTGAATCATATTTAAAGATTGTTAAGTGTTTCATTATCAAGTGCTATAGCTAAGTGTGCTTCATGTATTCAATATTGTTGCTATACAGTATTTTTACATATGTTATACATGCAGTTATTCCTGTGTTTTTGTGTTTTATACCCCAAAAAACATAGATGTAGGCCTTTGCATCTGAACATCTAAAAAATGGAAACGTGCAGCATTCTTTTAAACTCTAAAGTACATTAAAAAGTTTCGAAGCGTCGAAAATTAAATCCGAAATATGTTTTCAGTAAACGGCAGTAGCTAATAGCCAACCACTGTTTGGGATACGGTTTAACAAAGAAGGAAAAAAACAATAACACTCGTCAGTCAAGTCGTTCATTTTGGCACGCACACTAATCTTTATTTTGTTCGGCTTCTCTGACTGAAAAATGCCTGCGCCCATCCTTACACCGGTGATACGTGTGTATTGGGAATAAACAAAAGGCACGATTTGTAATTGCATGCACGCGCTATAGTAACTATTACGCTAATTGTGAAGTCTTATAACTTATCTGGTACATATATAAAAAATTAGTTATGTGTAATTAAACTTTTTCAGGTCGATGAACAATACCAAGCAACCTCATTGTCAACCAAATATTTGGGATCTCGTCTGAAAAGCTTCAGGTATTATGTAGTTATATGCAAATCTTACTCACGGTATATACAGCTGACTTAGCCGAAATCTGTCTCTCCTTGCATCTAACAGTGTCGCCATAACATGGGCCATATATATACATATATATATATATATATATATATATATATATATATATATATATATATATATATAATATATATATATAATATATATATATATATATATATATATATATATATATATATATATATATATATATATATATATATATATATATATATATATATATATGGCCCATGTATAGACAGTTTTCGCATTTTAATTGCATGGATAGGCGGAAATTAAAGTGGCAATCACATGCAATGGTTAGTACAATAAATCATTGTTTGGACTCATGGATGAATAATTACCTAAAATTGTTGGGGGAAAGCAGTGGAACACCTTAACAACTGTGATTTATGGTTACTGAATTAATGAATTATACAAGTAGTTGCCCTTATCGTGGTTCATGTTCCTTATGTGCGCAATTTCATTAGATCTGAACTCGCCTTAAATCGCCTAAACTCGCATTATCTCGCTGGGAGATTAGGCGAGTTACTATCCCAGAGTAGGCTTCCTAATTTTCAGCTAGCATGCATGTGCCTGAGTATCGTATTTTACGCTAAGGAAACACCAACTAATTGATGAATCATGCACAAATGGAAAACTAGAGAAAACATTGCTACTGTTTTGGCTAGAATACAACAAGGAAAATGCACATTTAATTTCATAAACGGCATAAACTTTAAACTTAAACTTTGAACTTTGTTTACAACGGCGCTATTTCATCGACGCTATTACAAATTTCAGCGCTATTACAAATAGGTGTAGGGGTTGGTGGTGGTATAGACCTTGTGGATTTAAAAGAATAGATAACAAAGTTTTATAAAAATATGATAAATTTTCTTCAATCTGGTTTCACAACCGTTTATTCAAGTTACTCAGCAAATTGTTCATACATATATCTTGAATGCATGGTTTGACATATAATCCGGCCAAGTATTTTTCAAAAATTGCTCGGCAGGATTATATACAATATATTTATTCTACATAGGATTTTTATTGACAAACCTCAAAAATAACTTTCTTTACATTATTTCAAGGATTTGCACGGATTAGGCCCTGCCAATGTCGAATATTTTTTTCCAGATAAAGTGTAAACTAAAATTAGATTTGGGTGCAATGAGATTTTTTTAATTTTATATAGTCGTGGAAGTGGAACGAATTCTGCAACATTGGTTTCATTATATATCTACTTCCTCCCAACATTAATCCAAGTTGAAATCGATAATGACAACCTTGGAAGACAATTCCGTGCTGGATTGGTATCTTCTACAGGTGCCGGCGTTCAAAGGTTGACATTGAGGAATAGATATGTTCTGGCAAGAAATAATCAGCCAACTCCAGCTGCAAATGTCGGTAAGTGCATGATGGAGAAAATAGCATAGTTACAATAGTTAGGTCAATCTCGAAAGAATCTGGATTGGAATGCTCCTATATTGATCAATGGTACAGAAAACTCTACAAGGTTTGGAGGAATAAAGCCATTATATAGCAAAGATGATCTTACTCCTGTCTTAAGGAAGTCATATTTTCACCTCGCTTTGTTTGTTAGCTTCTGAGTTTGTGTGCCTATTTATAACTTGCATAATAATAAATCAGTTTGATATGAAATTGGTGGAGCTAAAGGATTTAATTTTGGTTCAATTTCGAGGAAAATTGGAAATGAAACCTACAAATTAGAGTGTTTCCTGGAATAGTTTTACGGGCTGAAAATAACTTACTGTGCAATCAATCTCGTACCAATGGAGCCATCGCTGTTGGATGTGTATCTTGTATGAGAAATCTTAAACGATATGTTCTGTCATGTTCACTGTAATATACTATATTTTGTAGCTGATGTGAATGAGTGTTCATCTTCAACTCGCTGTGGTCCTGCTCAACGTTGTGAAAACTACGATGGAACATATCGCTGTTACTGTAACCGTCCTGCACAAATGATTACTGAGTCTGGTCAATGTATAAGTAAGAACACGATTTATTGACTTTCATTTTTTAGTAAGCATGAGGCACAAGTAGCCGCAATTTTGGAGTAAAAGGTTACTGAATGCCCTGGAAAGCTGTCCCGATTGAGATTAAGCTATTTATCCCCCGAGAAGTTGGATAATTAAAACAATGCAAAGACTTACGCAGATCTCTCTCAAGCGGACACCATTTTAAGCGGTCACAATCCTCATGTGGCATGTTAATAAAACACTATTGTTATAACAACTATTTAACAGACACCTTCTTTACGGGGACACATCTCTAGAATGCCAAATGTGCGTATTTTTGACCATCCAAGGCAATGTTTTAAATTTGCAATTGAATTATCATTTGAATTACATTTGCATTGATATATTACTTCTATTTTTAGATGTTATAACATTTCAAGGAGTTTTAATTATCACAAATCTGGGCACTTTTGATCCAAGCCTTCTCATTATCAACAGTATTCCTTGGTTGCGGCTTGCTTTATCACTCGAAAGTGCGGTAAGTCTTAGAATTGTACTTGGAGGTGGGCAATCTTTGGTAGCGGGTAATTATCGAACCTGATATTTTGTAAAAAATCAATAAATTTGGATTGCCAAAGCTACCCTTACACGACATACTAGGCCGTATTCTGTGTCCCCAAAAGTCGCGTAGAAAACGATTTTCGTTGCCCCACTTCGAGAACTACTTTAAATTTACATGAATCTATAAATTTGTATACGCTGAGTATGAATTCACTTGTTGTCACTCGCAGAAACCCGCAGTTTTTTTTGTATTTTACGATCAAACATCAACAATTTTTATTAAAATTTCCGCCATTTTATTCAGGAAACTTCATGTTATGTACAGTACAGTTATTGTACTAGTTCAAGTCATTTAGCAGGGGGTAGCATGCGGTATTACGTTGTTTATATCATTCTTCTGAGAATAATATGCAGAAATAAATGAAAATATAGATATTTTTGGTACTAAATAATCAGGATTTAATCTATATTTCTTTATTGCATCAACTTTTGGGTTTTTTGGTTCATCATTATATGAAATTGCAAAGTTTGTTACTATTTCCATTGACTCTCACTTGTCATTGGTAAAGATGTTTATGTTATTATTTATACTGAAATTATGTACGTACATAATTGATAATTTTACCCTTAAAATGTGAATAGGCAATTTTCCTGGATAATTGGCTACTTGAAGTATTTGTCAACAATAAAGTTTTGCCGGTTTTATTAGGATAGGAACTAGGAAGAGAGATTTCAAAAGAAATTTTAACTTTGAAATCTTCTAAGCGGGTGTTTATATGGAGGCGAGCCAGCCCAGGTGAGGTACCCGAGCTAGCTCTCTTTGCCGAGCTGATTTCATCTCATGTTTACATGAGACTTTTGAGGTGGGCTGGCTCGCCAAAATAAATCACTGGTCTCACAGCTATAAATAGTATAATATAAATAGATTTTTATATCTCAAGATCTTGCCTAGGCAGGCCAGCGCTGTCCTACCTATGCGAGATCCCGGTTCCCATAATCCCATATAAACGCAAGATGAATATTAGTACATATTACATAGCGATGTTAGATCTCGGCAAAGGAAGCTGGCTCTGGTATCCGGGCTGGTTCGCCTCCAAGTCTCTAATATATTATAATATTGTAGTAATTTAATGTTGTCATAATGTATGCATGTAACCTTTTGTAGCATAGAATAGCCACAATGTGGAAATGCTATTAAACCATTATTATTGTTTATTTTTATTATTTATTATTATTAAATAAACACCCCCTAAGAAAATATAAGAATGTTTTTTACATCAATAGATTGATGTGAATTGAGTATTATTTAATGTGCAGCTGCATGTTATTCAGGATCTAAGGCATGGAAAAAAAGAGTCTTTTCTAGGCAGGCCAGCCCAACTGAGCGTTCTCTAGGATTGGGATTTTAATTTTTCTTCGTTTGCTGACACTCATAACTGTAATACTCGTATAATAAAAATAATCTAATTAAACCACATTTCTACAAGACCTGTGGGCAAAGCCGCTTCGTTTGTCACTGCGTTGATGATTGGAACAGTGTCTCTGAATATATTAGAACTTTATCTTTTAATATAGTTTTAAGATTGCAATTAGCAATAGACCTTACTATAATTATCCTCTTTTACCCAATGGCCTCGTTTCCATGCTAACTTATTTTAGCATGTCAGGGGCAGATAAATATTATATTCTCTCATGTTTTCCTGGACGAATTTGTTTCTTGCTGTTCTTAGGCTCAATAACATGGTAATTTTCAACCCTATACTAAGCACAAAACATGAGTAAGTGTTTGAGATGAAAACGAGGCCATTGGGTAAAAGAGAATAATCGGTAAGGTCTATTCTTAAATTTTCTGAATTTTATCTAATAAATCTACTCTTATATATTTTAATTTTACTGTTCATATTTTATTTTCGGGCCTCACTGAAAATCACAATTTGCGAATGGGCTCCCTGATGAATGGACATTTTTAATAAAGTAAAGATAAATAATAAAATAACTGGAAAGAAGGTTTATGTAACTAATACATATTGGTAGGAAGTGATGCCAGATTAATTTAAATTTCTAGTGTCTGCCTGGCCTAAATTTAATTATCCTGCCCTTCTCCAGTTGGTAATGAGTGGCAAATAGGATTAGAGCTTAAGGTGATGATCTATCATGACAATATGTTGTATCTAATATTCTTACGCATTTAAACCTCAAATGGCTTTATCAATTAATGTTTCTGGGTGGCATGACTTTGAGATTTGCTTGTGTGAATATAATTTTCGCTTAGATGCTTTGTTCCATCAAGCCCATGCTTGCCTCAACAGTCTCGAATAAATTGAAAAACCATGCAAGCTATCTTGCAGTTGTTATATGGTAGCTGTAATAAATTGGGGCTATTTCTGCATGTGCGGCCACTATTTGCTAATACTTTAATAGCAATAAAGTGATAAAAAAATGGCTGGGTTAATGGTCTATTCTATACACGAGCAAAGACGAACAAAGGAAAACAACGACCAACGTATCAAGCGTCTATAGACTTTAACAATCTAGAACGTGAACTAAAAAACGCTACTTCATTACATAACTTTAAAAAACTATTAAAAAGACGGTATGTGTACGAGGTATAAACCTCTCATTCTCTTTCGTCCTCCTATATATGACTTCTTTACTTATACTTATCTTTCTCTCTCAATCTTTATCTGTTTTCCACTCCAAACGTATCGCGGCGAAGTGTAACGTATATGTATTTGTTTCGTGAGCATTCAGATAGAATTAGATGCCCTTGAAACAAAGAAGTGCGTTGTGTTTTCTTTCGATTGGAGTGGAAATCAGACTTTATTAATACTCTTAAATAATTATATTGTATAAATGTGTTGCTGTAAATAGTGCATAAGGGGCCATTCACAAAGGATGTCCGGCCAAATGATAGATTTTCAGACCCCTTCCCCCCTTGTTCGACATTGTCCGAATTAGCGACCCTCTCCCCAGACATCCGCCATGCCTCACAAAAACTCACGCAACCTTGTATATGCCAAGAGTAAAAACTTTTTTACTTTTGGAACTTTTTTATAACTATAAATGTATTGAAGGAAGGAATTAGATAATATTATGAAGTGTTCAACTTGATCCAAGTCTAAATGGGGAGGAGAGTTCAAAATAGAGGAAAAAGAATTTTTTTTTTATTTTTTTTTTTATTTTGGACACCCGGATTGCTAAAAAATCCCCTCCTCCCCTATGCCCGAGTTTCTCCTGATTTTCCAAACCCCCCTCCCCCCTCGGCTCGGACATCTTTTGTGAATGGCCCCTTACTAAATATTGAATTAATATACTGTAATTTAAAGTTGCAGGACCCCACTGAAAAACAGTTCGGTGATGTGGGTATCCTGGATAAATATGAAGATAATAATACTAAACAACAAATAGATCTAACATTTATTAAACAACAATTAAAAAACATAAGCGTGTCGTGGTTTTATGTGTGATAAAATCATAAGCGTGTCGTGGTTTTATGTGTGATAAAAATCATGTTAATTTACATAAAGTTTAGCTTTGATTTTCTCGGAGACAAAGTTTATTTTAAAAATTACTTCGCCAATGAACGCGTATAAGATGAGTCGTTTTTTAAGCCTTAAATAGCTCTTGTAGTCGTGTTTTATCACATATAAAACACTGCGCTACGCGTCGTGTTTTATATGTGATAAGACACTCCTACGCGTGCTTTAAATACTACATGTATAACTGTGCTTTTTATTCATTATTGACAAAAATTTCAAAGAAAAATTGCCTGTTCACATTATAAGGCTAAAATTATGTACATAATTTCAGTAATAAATAGAATAAACAACTTTACCAAGGACAATGAGTCTTTGTGGCGGTCGTTTGCAATTTCACATCAAGATCAGACAAAAAAACCCAAAAGTTGGTGCAATAGAGAATAGTACATTAGTTTCCGATTATTTACAAACATATAGCAGTACCTTTCGCATTTATATTATGGAAAAATTCTGTATTTTAATTTTACTTCTGTATACTTTTCTCAGAAGAATGATATAATCAGCGTAATGCCGCGTGCAACCCCCTGCTAAGAGACTTGAACTAGTACAATAACTGTATGTAACATGAAATTTCCAGAACAAAATGATGGAAATTTTAATAAAAAATGTTGATTTTGATTGTAAAATACAAAAAAAACTGCAGGTTTGTACGCGTGACAACAAGTGAATCCTTACTCAGCGTGTAAAAATCTATACATTTTTGCAAATTAAAATTAGTGCCCGATCGACAGCAGCGTAACTAAACAAAAACCGGTCACAGCATACGGCCTAGCGACGAGCAACAGAAATATGCACACGTCCAAAGGTTGTTAGAGCCCAGAGTATTCCTGTTATTCGAGATATCGAATTTTCGATATCCCGTTAGTGATGCCCATGCTCTTTCTCTACCATACGTTATTATTTAAGAAATAGAAAATGAGTTGCGTATGTTTATAGTGTGATAATGCACGCAGTTAATGTTGAAAGCGTGTAAGACACGAGGCGTAGTCGAGTGTTTTACACGCTTCTCGAGTATTCTTTCAATATTCCCGAATGTATTATCACACCATAAACGCATGAGACAAGTTTTTCTATTTCTATTATAATATAAGTAGAAGATATTACATAGCAAACAATTTTACTCCAAAGAACAACTTTGAGTTTCTCAATCAATTGAAGCTGCTTTGGTAAACAGAAACCTCGAATTTGCGATAAAAAATGAGCAGTTTGATTTATTTTGATTTGTCGTAGCCGGAAGGCATGTGCATGCTTGCTGCTTTGCCAGATGGTTGTGGGAAATCACTGATTTATTCAGACGTACATGCCCTTTCTTATGGCGTTGAATCCTCGACCGTTTTTCGAAAGACGAAGTTTTCCAATAGACTAACATCATTAAAAATTCAGCAACTTAAAGTATACCAACATCATCAATACATATTCAAACTGCCTTTTCTACCAACTTCGTAACACTTAGTATTTTGATAAAGTACGAAACAACGTTTAACTAATATTTAGTCATCATTAAGAAAACTATAGTTTATGCAAGAATGGTTTACTGGACTATACTCATCTGATGCAAAATGAGTACTTTGTTGTCTTCCTTGTCTTGGATTTAACATACTATTGTTGACCGCATCTTTATTGACGTCTATCTGCAAAATCTCAAGCTAATTTTGCAATGGAATTATATCGCTTTTGTTTTCATTTTTTAAGTTTTAAAGTCATTTAGAGCAAAAAGGTTCAGGTCTCGAAGATTTTGACGATCTCTTATTTATCTCTTATTGTAGATTAACGCGGCTTATAGAAGAAGCAACCTTGCCAGTAATTACAGAGGCTGTCAAGTTACGCGTTTTAGGTAATTTCATACGTTATTATTTAAAAGTAATAATTCTTTCGCCTTTGAGATCTTTTATTGAAATAAAATTAGCCTTTCAAGTTACAAACGTCGTTTGAATATTATACATCATGTCATCAGTGTATAATACCTGGTGCAACTAACAGTTCTTGAAAACTATTTCCCCTCCACTTGTGGACCGTTAAATGGTAATGTGCGTATGCTCTACCATATATTCAAGACTTATAAAGAGGCCATGATCAAGCTTTAAGCCTCACAGCTTTTCCTGAAGAAAATCTTCAAATGCGCTTTATGTCAAGTATTACGTTTACCTAATAATTACATACTTAGCCTAAACTATTTTATCTTTACAACAATTGTGATATTACCTCCTTAACTGTGTTTATACTAACCCACCCTGTCAACTTTCCCCTTGGGAGGAAACCGGAACACCCCAAGAAAACCCACGACTTTCGGTAGAGCGTTGACTGACTCTTTTCCTTATCGAGAATCGAACCCACGAACTCAGAGGTGAAAGGAGCTTGCTTTGGCGACTACGCCGCCGATATCCCATGTACAATATCGTTATTTTACTTACAGGGAAGGATCAGTGATTGCAACATACCTAGCTACATTTGATCCAGCAAGCAAAGAAACGGTCTCAAATGCCCAAGCTGCTATACAAACTCAACTTAGCGAGAACGTTAATGGAACTTTCCTTGGGCAATATCAGCTATCCGGAACCAGGCAGACTGCAATAATGTATCAAGGTAAGTCGATCTTTTCATTTCGTAAGGAGAAACTGTCGTCTTAGAAGCATATATAGCCCGCGTGCAGGCCCAGGGAAGAATAGTGGGCCCGCAAGCAAGACCCGGTATTTTGTAAAACGCCCCTTTTCATAACACGCCCCATTCGCGCGTCAATTGTCAAAAAAGAACCAATGACAGCAACCCAAATAGTAACAAACAAACTCGCATTCAAATGTTGCGGGGCGGGGTTTCTGCTTATTCAGAATAGATTATAGAAACAATGTGTAAATGCTGCGTTTTAACTCCAGAAAAGCAAGCAACGCAGTCAGTAGTTAATTGCCAAATTTGCAAGTGCTCATTTTTAACGAAAATCGGAACCGGCAAATTAGGACGAATTTCAACAGAAAACCAGTCTCAAACTTCAAATCGTGAGGAAAGTCGTGCGGCCACATTAGCATTAATGTGTGCTTCGCTGTCGCCATTGTTATAAATAAATTGTCTCACTTACTGTATCAGATCGTGTGTGCAATTCTTGTTGGCGGCGGAAAGTACGAAATTTATTTCAGTTATGTCATTTGGTAAAGATCTCGAGAAAACAAGAGAGCGTTCAGAGACCAGATCGTTTCGTTTCAAACGGCAATTACCGTCTTCTGTTTCGCTCTCTCAGCGAAGTCCTGGAAATCGCAAAGTGTTTCGAATAGGCTTACATGCAACTGCCTCTAAATCTTCACCGCGAAAAGCGCTGTTTTCTTCAGTGCAAGAACAGAGTCAACATCAACCAAAAGATAATTTTCTTGAGGGACATATAACGTATCAAGTCTGTTTGAAATTAACGAAACTCAAGTAAAGATTGCTATAGCTTACCGCAGTGGTAATGTTGCTATTCCAACACTTCACGACAAGCAATCCCGGTTGGCATAACGGCAAAAACATCTCTTCCTTCAAGTAAACGATCGATAAACAGTCTGTTGTTGTTCCATTTTTAAAGTGCATATGACATGAATATGATTATTTTCTTAAATGAAAGAACTCTTTAAGCTGTAGTATGACTTATTTTTCAGTTTCTTGATTTTGTGGTTTGACCCCGTGATATTTCAATTTGTTTGATATGTAAATGAGTGTGAGTATGTCCCTAACTTATGACGTCACTTTGGTTGCAAGCAGGGGCGTAGGAAGCACCTGGAGTTTGGGGGGGCACCGGCTTGTAGGGGCACATTACTATCGGAAAGGGCACCTAAAAAATTTTTCCCGGAAATGTTGTCGACGGGGGGGGGGAGAAATTTCTCCTGAGGAAAATTTTTCGTCGTATCATACCGAAATTTATGTTTGTGACCTAATTTTTAAAAAAAATTTGTAAATGTCCACACAAAAAACGGCCAAAAATGGTTCAATATCACTGCTATCATCCAAAACAATAATTTCAAACTTCTCTCACTGGTAAATGTGATGAAACACTGGAGAAAAACGTGAACTGATATCTACAGTTTTTAGAGTTAATAGATTTATAGCTAGTGTAATTTGAGCTTGCAACCAAAGTGACGTCATAAATTAGCGGACATATTCACACTCATTTACATATCGAACAAATTCAAATATCTCGGGAACAAACCACAAACACAAGAAACTGAAAAATAAGTTACTCTATAGCTTAAAGAGTTCTTTCATTCAGGAAAATATTCATGTTCATGTCATATGCACTTTAATCGAAAAAATGATCAGATCCAATTTTTATAAGCTTAGCGAGAGCCTTTGTGATGAATCACTGATCCAATTATAGAATCCAACAATTATAGAACGCGCAAAGTACAAAATACCGGGTCTTAATGCTTGCAGGCCCACTATTCTTCCTTCGGTGGGCCTGCACGCGGGCTAACAGTAAGATGAGTGAACCAAATTTTAATATTTTTAGCCGCGGAGCGTTTTATGTCTGATAAAACACGACGAGTGTACTCCAAAACACGAAAACGAGTGGACTAAAATATGTTTGGGAAATTGGTAATTTTGTAATTAAAGTGATCTTTTTAGGCGATTTTTCGTTTGTAAAAATATTCTTAAAAAATTATCTTGTTACCATGATAACTACTTTAAATACTTCATGTTCGGAAAATAAATTTTGTCAGAAGGCGAGGGTTTCTGCATGCATGTATTTTCTGGTTGCCTAACTAACCAATAGCAATGTTTTAGGAAAGTTTATATATTCTATCCGCGACTCGAACAATAGGGTAAAAATATTGGCAAAAATACAATACATGCACACGTGACCGGGAAGGACCAGATTTACGAATAAACGTTGACTAACATGGATAATTAGTTTTAGTATAAAATTTGCATATCAAATAAGCTTTCGCGCGTTCTGATCGGCTAGTTGACTAGAAAATCTGACGCTTTATTTACCACCGGACTATAGTAAATAATGCTTTTCAAAAAGAATGATTCGGCAAATTTGGTTTCAAAATCGACGAAATATTGAAAAAATCGTCCCCAGAAAAAGAAAAAAGCACAAAATGTTGTATTTAACTTGAAAGGTAGGATCCATTATTATTTTACTGTATCAAAAATTTTCACGAACAATTTAAAACTTATTTAAAACTCCGAAACTTAGGTAACGTTTACTTCAAACAAAGAGCAAAAACTATCCCGACTTTGGGAAAAGCCGTGATATTCTCTTTTAAAACAATTTTGTTTTGTATCCTATAGATGTCTCAATTTGTACGATCCTATTTCTTTTGATATGTCGTGTTTTAATTGTGCTGTATGGTGTCCTGACGCTGTATTGTGTTTTCGAAACTTGTAAAGTGAAAAGTGTTATTAAAACTTTATTTCGAACAATATAGTTTTACATTTCATTTTACCAAATTTCTCAACCATTTCCTGAACAAATTAATGCTAAACAGAAACTATTTTTTAAACCTAAGTCTGGTAAATAGTCATTGTGTCTATATTCCAAGCAGAAATCGAGAAAAACAACTTTGAAATAAAGCAATAAAGTCACACAAGAAGCCATTTTAAAGTCCATGCGTGTACAAGAAACACTGCAACACCAAAATAGTAACCGTGAACTGGCCGAAAACAGTTTTATTTCTGAATTTTAATTAAACTCATATTTGGATATTTTGTTTTATTAATTAAAAATTTATACTAAAACAATTATTCGCCTCAAGCTCAACGATCATAACGGTGATTATTATATATCAATAGTCAAAGTCGCATTTTTCTAGTGTTTTATTGCATGGTTGAGAGCATATCACGTGAGAGTGACGAAATTAGGCTGTCTCCCTTGCAACAGCGCGAGAGGGAAACAATACGTTATCGACCGGCGAGTAACAAAAAAAATCACGTGCGCCATCACGTGAAGATGCGACCTTTGGACATGCCTAGTATGTAATTAAAACTTTCACTTTAAGTAACTGTAGTGTAGCCAGTGTTTAATATAACGTTTTAACAATAAAATATTTCATGTATTTACGTCCACATGTGCTTTAATTTGTTGTTTCTTTGACTATTGGTATATAATAAAACACTTATTTACTGAGACCTCGGGAAAGCAGTGTGTTTTGTTGACCCTCGGCCGTCGATGTTTCCCTCGGTTTCTCCTCGGGAAACATCGACGTTCTCGGGTCCACAAAACACACTGTTTCCCTCGGTCTCAGTAAATAAGTGATAATTATTATATATCAATAGTCAAAGTCGCATTTTTCTAGTGTTTTATTGGTTGAGAGAATATCACATGAGAGCGACGAAATTAGGCTGTCTCCCTCGCAACAGCGCGAGAGGGAGATAATACGTTATCGACCGGCGAATAACAAAAAAAATCACGTGCGCCATCACGTGAAGATGCGACCTTGGACATACCTAGTACGTAATTAAAACTTTCGGTTTAAGTAACTGCAGTGTAGCCAGTGTTTAATATAACGTTTTAACAATAAAATATTTCATGTATTTACGTTCATTTGTTCTTTAATTTGTTGTTTCTTTGACTATTGATATATAATAAGACACTTATTTACTGAGACCTCGGGAAAGCAGTGTGTTTTGTGGACCTTCGACCGTCGATGTTTCCCTCGGCTTCGCCTCGGGAAACATCGACGGTCTCGGGTCCACAAAACACACTGTTTCCCTCGGTCTCAGTAAATAAGTGATAAATATTCACCTCAACTTCGTCTCAGTGAATATTCACCCGTTATCAATTCGCCTTCCGCGAATAATTGTTAGATATATTGTTATTCTAAAGGTTTCACAGCCATCTTTCCTTCGATAGGCAATGATTAAACGCAGAGTAAACCTATGGTGGAAATTCGACCAAATGAATAACAAAGCCTGCCAAGGCGCGCATGAAGACGAGCAACCTACGATTACGTATATCCTGTGTCAAATTATGATCGTGTGCAAAACGTTTATTTAGTTTCAACCGCTAATGGCAGGACCATAGACAATCTTTAGTTTGTAGAGATGCAACTACCTTAAAAAATACGAAAAATACAAGGAGAATTTTGACGTTTCGAGCGAATAACTGTCACTTCAGACGAAGGGCCTTCACTCCAAAAATCAAAATTCTCCTTATATATTTCAGGTACTGGCACAGACAGTTCAAAATTGATGACCATCAATCTTTTTGTTTTTGTAATTCGCAAGGCCATGTGATGTATAGCACATTTCTCCTATAAAACATATTATTCCCATTATATTTATGGTGCTAAAGACACAGTTCAGCCTTTTTGAATGATGGTTTTGAAGACGCATTTCAGCCTTTTTAATTGAAAAAACTAACTAGGAAAATCAATTATACATAATTCAAGATCAGTAAACTCAATGTTTTTAACAATAAAAATGTTTTAAAATGTTAAAAACATTAAGTTTGCTGATCTTGAATTATACATAATTGATTTTCCTAGTTAGTTTTTTTTAATTAAAAGAGCTGAAATGCGCCTTAAAACCATCATTCAAAAGGCTGAACTGTGCCTTTAAATCGTACATTTGACTATTGCTTGTGAGAATAGCTATATACTGGATGGAACAGGCTGTAGGAGCAACTTCGACGTTAGCATGGGTACCTCTAGAAACTTCCCAATGTCTTTTGGCAAATTTTTTATTCGCTGTAGTCATTTGCTATACCCAATTGCAAAATTGACTTCTTTAAGGGTTGATTTCTAAAATTTCCCCCGGCCTCCCCCTAGTTCACACGCTGCTCGCAATGTAGGCTGGGATGACTGATAATTACTTTGCCTAGAGGCAAGGTGGACGGGGAAACATTTCAAGATTTATTATTATGTAACCTGCAAAAATGTAATGATATTTGATTCCCAAATAGATTATGATGAATGTAATCCTGCATCAAACATTCATATTCAAGACTGTGGTACTGGAGCAACATGTACTAATGAAGTAGGAACATATTCATGTCAATGTGCTACTGGTTATACAGGAACTCCGCCTAATTGCACAGGTATGTATATAAGATGTAAGATGATAAGATGTGAGATATCACAGGTGTCATAGAATATTAGATTAATCGTTACTGTTTAAGTTAAATGGTGGGGGTAATGTCTCTCAAAGGTTTTAAACAATATAGAACAAAATACGTCTTGACATATAGTATCATGAAACCACAGATATGGGTAAAAGCAAACCGTGAATGAATTCAAGATGACAATGGCTATTTATGCCATACAATCAAAACATAGGAAACTTAATGTTTTCGTCTCCGATTGTGTTTTGTTTTTATATTTGTTTCTAACTAAGTAGATTTATGTAGTCGGGGCGCTAGGCTATTTTTACAAAAATAAACTAAATGGATGTCCGTTTCTTTTCCTTCTACAGCTTTTACAATCCTACCATTGTATTTCGGTATGTTGTGTTTATCTTTGTTATGTATTACAATTATCTTTTAACCATATTGTCCAGTGGTAGGTATAAACAATACCAGCAGACCGTTTAAAGTGCATATGACATGAATTTTTTATTTTCTTAAATGAAAGAACTCTTTAAGCTGTAGTGTAACTTATTTTTCAGTTTCTTGTTTTTATGGTTTGTTTCCGAGATATTTCAATTTATTTGATATGTAAATGAGTGTGCATATGTCCGCTAATATATGACGTCACGTTGGTTGCAAGCTCTTCAAAATGGTTGAATATCATGGCTGTCATCCAAGATGATAATTTCTAACTTCACT